TTGGAACTTTCAGTTCCAAACCACTCAAAAAAATTAGTTTGGAACTATCAATTATGAACCAATGTGTACTTGAAAATCGAAGACAACTTGTTCAGAATTGTCAGTTTTGAACTGGTCAGAAAAGGACCTTCGTTCAGAACTACTAGTTCCAAATCCTGCATTATCCGGGGAGAAATTTTCGCGAAAAGAAAATGATTGTGTTAAATGTAAAATATACAAGATATTTTTTAATTCCAATAAATGCAGTTGATATAAGCATTAACTTTAGATATTCTAAGATACGGAAAATCCCTAATTTAATTTTTGGGATTCATAATTGCATGTTGAGGATGAATGCCAATGCCCAAAAAAAAAAATTTGTAGAAGTCATAGCATTGCTAGAATTTTTCATTTATGTCTGTATAGCTAAACTTTGGTTTTATTTGTGGATATATCATGTTGGATTTTTCTTTGGAGTTTTTTTTTTCTTTTTCAAATATTTGATCTTCAAAAGCTACCATCAATTGCCCTGAAGATATAATTTATATGGCACTTTATTCAATTAATCTTGCAGAAAAGTAAACTCATAGCTATGAATCCTAAACAACTGCGAACAACTACGTTGATTGTTCGCTACAATTTTAGCTACATGGGTGGTGTGTTATATAAGAACAAGCCCAAGTTTACTTTCTGCACATAACATAAGTCAATATGATTGACACCATGTAACTCTATCCGAAATGTATAACGATACTAGTGGTTTAAGGGCTTAACTTTCCGCGTTTTCATAACCTAAGGGTTTTGGGGCATATTGGTTAGGTACCAAACCTTTAGTATTAGAGCAACCAGTGCGACCTAGATTCAAATCCTAAGAAAGGTCTAGCTGTGGAAGGGGCTATTCATGGAAAGGGTTACCTAAAGAAATAAAATCAAAATGAACACCCACTCATAGAGTGAGAGCTGCCAAAGACGTTGATCCTAAGAAACGACTACCTATGGAAAGGGCTGCCTGAATCGAGTGAGACTCCGCCATAAAGTGAGAGCCACACCACAGAGTGAGAGCCCGTCGACTGCGAAAGATGGTATGTAACGATCCTAACTAGTTTAAGGGTTCTAACTTTCCGTGTTTCCATCACCCAAGGGTTTTGGAGCGTATTGGTTAGGTACCTAATAGAAGAAAAATTTGAAAGAACTCCATTAGAAATATTAGAAGTAACAAAATGAAAGTTTGAAAGAACTGCATTATAAATATTGGAAGAGGATATGAACTTGAACTGAGATGAAAATTTTCGAAGTAACGTTAATCGTGAAGTTGGTGAGAAATTGCAAAATGATATTGCAACTCTAATGGATCGCTATCAAAGCAGAGAATAGGGTTGCTCAATTTCATGGATAGTACAAAATAGAGAAATTATCACAAATATATTTTACTTTTTGTCTATTTAGAAAAATACTTTTAGCTTTCATAAACCTCGTCCACACTTTTTTTTTTCAATTTTGAGTATTTTTTTATCAAAATAACCTTCACGGTAGTCGTATTACCATGAAGCCAATTACGGTATTTTAATTATCGTAAAAACTAATCCATGTTAGTACTTTAATTACCATAAAAACTAATCCATGTTATACGGTTATACGACATTTTATGTACCGTAAAAACTAACCTATGGTATGCAACATTTTAAGTACAGTAAAAACTAACCCATGTTGTACGGTATTTTAAGTACTGTAAAAACTAACTCATGTTATACGGCACTCAAAATGCCGTAAACTCATTTCTCCTGTCCATTTTTTTATCTCTTTCATCTCTCTAATTTTTTTTATGTTTATCTCTTCTTTCTCTCTAAGTTTTTTAATATTTATCTATTTTTTCTCTATCTAAATCTTTTCTCTCACTAACTCTCTTTCTTTCTCTACTTAATTCATCAACTAAACAAACACGATTCCAACTTGATACAAATCTGACTCCTAATTTTCATAGGGGATGGGGTTGAAGAGAGTTTTTATAGGGGATGGTAAGGTATGCACAGATTGTTATACAAATCTCCTTGGAGAGAGAAAGAGAGTTAGAGAGAGAAAATAGAGATAAAAAAAGGAAAGAAGAAATAAATATTAAAAAGAATTAAAGAGAGAAAGAAGAAATAAATATTAAAAAGAATTAGAGAGAGAAATAAAAGATAAACATAAAAAAAATTAGAGAGATGAAAGAGATAAACATAAACAGTAGAAAAGAGTTTACGGCATTTTGAGTGCAGTATAACATGGGTTAGTTTTTATTGTACTTAAAATGCCGTATTACATGGGTTAGTTTTTACTGTACTTAAATGCCGTAAAACATGGTTTAGTTTTTACTGTACTTAAAATGCCGTATAACATTCTAGTTTTTACGGTACTTTAAGTACCGTAATTGTGCTTCACGGTAATACGACTACCGTGAAGGTTATTTTGGTAAAAAAAAAAGCTAAAATTGAAAAAAATTGATATGAGAGAGGTTTGTGAAAGTTAAAGGTTTTTATCTGAATAGACGAAAATTAAAGTATATTTGTAACAATCCCTACAAAATATTATATATTTTAGGTAAACAAACTCAATATTTGTATTTGCAATTACATTTGCTTTTTCATATTGTTGCTTTAAATATTAGGTTTATACCATTTTTTGCAATTGAAATGAATGACTTGAACAAGGATAATTATATCACGTATAACCCCTCTCTATAATTGCAATCCCAAATAACTCCACGGGTGTACCAGAAGCCCTTGGATCCTCAAGTTAAAGGAATTTAATGTTTAATCTCATCTGTACCTTCTTTTTTTTTTCCTTTTCTTTTTTTTTTTTTTTTTTTAATTTACAATATTTACTTCTTTTTTTTTCGAATAATTCTATCATATAAATAGAATTTGAAATGCGTCTTTTAACCTACTTGTGAGGTAAACAAGCTGAGAAAGAGAGAGGTGGGAGATCGAGGTTAGGAGAAAGAGGGAGGAACGGTTTCACGAGTGAAGAAGAGAGCGAAAAATTAGGAGCTATTCTAGGGTTTAGATGACGGGATGAGGAACATTTTATATATTGTAATTTGGACAATGAATTCCGTGAGTTTTTCATAGACCTAAAGGTACATTTGGAATTATAATTACATTGGGAGTTATACTTCCTTTTACCCTTATTTTATTAAGCTTTTTATGGTTTTTTCTTAAACCAACTTTGTAGTCACAATTTTCTTACATGAGGTGCCACCCGCTATAAAATATATGTGACTAGGCATTTAATATGAATGAACATTTAGGATAACTTTATTCATAATGTCATAAGTTTGCTTGTATTTGATCTTTTGATTGGATAACTTCGAGTATTTAATGTTCATTTTCTATTATATGAATTAATTTACAATGCGCTGCACACCTCACGGGCCACACCTAATAAAAATAAGTAAAAGATATTTCTAACAAAATTGCCAATATGCTTCAAGAACTTGAAGGGGTGTTTTTTATATTTTCATAAGGAAATTTTTTTTTTATTTTTGTTAGGTCTAGAAGGAGAGGGGACACCTAAAATTAACTTCTAAAGAAAAGATTAAGAATAAATTAATATTACACATGATATTATGATTGAAGCAAGCTATCACATATATTTTATGTGTGGGTGATGTGGCCTGCAAAAGTTTGGTTTCCCCTCCGTAAATGACTCATGGATCTTATTTTTCATATACACCATATTAATTATTGGATATACAAGTAGTGACTACTGAAAAATCTTACGTAGTTTTCATTGGATTTAGCCCGACATATACATCCTTAGAAGGGAAAGGGGCTGAGGTCGTGCTTTCTATTTCCATACCATTAAAAAATTAAATTCTCAACTATTTCACAAGGGAGCATATCATCTCCATTGATTACCAAAAAAAAAGAGATTGTCTAAAAAAGACCATTTATCTTTTATACATGGAGGTCACAATCATTTTTATTCTTTAAATTTTAAATTGAGTGGTTGTAAGATGATCATTGAATATACAAAATTCTAAAAAAAAAAATATATTCTTAGAACTCGTGACTCACCCCAAGCCCTTCAATATAACTTCGAGTGAAAATGATTGTAACCTCTATGTGCAAAAAAATAAATGGTCTCTTTGTAAACAATCCCAAAAAAAAAAAAATCTTGATAAAAATTTCACCAAGTAAATGAAATAAGGGATCATATCTTTTGCATACTACAAAATTCAGCGAACTCCCTTCATAAAATTCTTTCTCGATTAAGAGAACGAGCACATTGTTTCCTGATTTAGTACTCGTTCACCTCATGTTTTTTTACGTAATCATAATGATATTCAACTTACCTCAAGAAAATGAATGATTAAATTTTTCTCTACCAAGAATATTGTTCTGAGATTGTCTACAAAAAGACTATTTATCTTTACAACATAGAAGTCACAATCATTCTTGCTTCTCAAATTCCACGCCACTTAAGAGTGTTGAAAATGATTGTGACCTCCATATACAAAAGATAAATAATCTTTTTTATAACAATCTCTATTATTTTACATAATCTAAAAACATTATATATTTACTTTTTATAAAAAGAGGTCACAATTATTTACAACCGTTTGATATAAAATCTGATAGCTTGAATGTATCACAAAATACGTGAATTTCTTTTGAAGTTTGAGCTTGGTCGATGAAATAAATGCGCCCATCCAACTTTACATCCTATCACTGTGTACCACTGTGTACCATTATAAAATAGGAGATATAATTATTAATGATAAATAAAAATTTTATCATTTAAATCTCCATTTTGATAGTCCTACGATGGGTGGGTTGTTTTCAAAAAATTTCCTCTATCGATATCAATATTTAATAAAGCATTTAGTGAATGATTAAAAACATACTAACTTTCCAGATCTCATAAAACAACTTGTAACTTGTAAAACAAAATACCAGTTTTCATACAACGGGGTTTCTCTTGTCCTAATATGGTTATAACACATTATTTTGTCGAAAACCAAGCAAACCTGAACCAAGAGATTAAGTTGCAGTAAGCACTATGAAGAGATAAAGAGTAAGAAGCAGTTCTTTCCCTAATTTCAGCAGTTACTTCCCTAATTTTTTATCACAAACAAAATAGATTGGGTACAACAACACAGCCAAGAATATGTAACTAAAACCAACCAAGAAGTGGTGTGGAAACAATAATAAGACCCATTCGGGATGTGAGAACGATCCACATCAAGCTGTCAGTCCAAGTGTAAATTAACACCTCCAGTCTCACTGCTTGTGCAATATCAATGAATCAAAACAGGCTCTTCTCTTCGGCCAAAATCATCCAATCCAACAACCACAACCGCCATCATGAATCAATCCAATCCATCAGGCCTCATCAAAACTGGTTGTTGCTTCTCAATGGAAAGACATAAAGGGAGGGGGAAATTAAAGAAGAAGAGAGTTTCAAGCAGATGAGAGCACTTCGAAATATAAATGTACAAAGACTTCTTGCGATAGATGGATACCGCCTATAGGAAGAGAGAGTTCCATAGCAGCAATCCCAGGAGGATAGCAGACCTAAAATCCACTCTTGGAGGAAGTTGGGGTGCGGCAGAGCCTGCAGTGGCATTCGTCGATGGAGCCAAAGACGTTATGTTTCCAAATGTACCATTCTTACCACCACTGCATAAACCAAAAGCTGAGTTAGAGAGGGAGAGGGAGGCACTTTAAATGGTCAAGTAAAACCGAGGAGAAAAAACAGGCAACTCCTGAAGGATTGAGTCACTAAAATGCAGTAAAGACATTTATACTCTTTACCAATAATCTTAGACTGAGATGCTTATCCTATCATGTTAAACAAAGTCACCTAAACAAATCAGGCATTATGGTGGGGTAACATGGACATAGAATACAAGCATAAGCTGCATAACACTAGAAAATGTGAACGAAAATTGTTTCATGCGGGCTGAACCGCATGACTACATATGCGGTCCAAAAAGTGTAAAGCATCTATCTAAAAGATGGATGCAAGTAGGTGTTCCATCTAAAAACAATGGAAACTAACGGTCCAAATGTTTTCTGACTAAATTTATTATTTCTAGTTTTTAAAATTACTTATTTTTCATATTCAAGATCTCCATGTTAGATATTACATGTCCTTAAAAATTAAGTCCAAAAATCCATCTCAAAAAGAGATTTATTAGTAGGCCTGCATTTCTACATATGCGGGCTTGGCCACATAGAAACCGGGTCCAAATGTGAATGCTATTAGACTTTTCTGATATAGAAGAAAGTCTGATGTGCCTGCGCATATTGGACTTTCTGTTATGTACAAGAAAATCAGATATTGTAAAACATGCTACAAACATCGAATTGCCCCCACCCAACGAATTCCTCCATGGAATGGTTCAAATCACTCACATATTCCTAAGGAAGCGCCCTTGGTTTAATGTTACACTTCAACATCACCATACCACATACATTCTGCAATACATTAATTTCCACACTACATATGTATATACACATATATGCACAAGGAATATCTACACATTTGAACATACAGCAGATCTACATATATGGAAATATAACTATACAAGGCAGTCTATGACCCTACACCTACAGTAAGGGGGTGGCAACAGGACAGGCCTGGGCCTGGGCCGGGCAAGCCCTAGACCTAGCCCGGCCCTGGTCCCTATTGGGCAAGCTTGAGCCCAAACTGGCCAGGAATGGGCCGGCCCAGGCCAAATAAGATAAATGTAACATAAGGAAAATAAGGGCCGGGCCGGGGAGAAATGAGCCAACCCTGGCCTAGGCCTGTCCCAGCCCTATCCTCAGTCTGTTGTCACCTGGCCCTAGCCCGGCCATTGGGCCACATAAACCGGTGCATTGCCAGCCTATGTGCTATATGCATATCTGCACTGATTCTCCACTAATCTCTCCTCCGAATCTAAGTCAAATATAGTTGGTGGGATTGGTCTAAATATCAGGGAAATGACATGGTCTTACCTACTCAAGGGGAACAGAACGACTCTTTTCCTCTATTATAAATTATAAATGACATTAAAACCACCTCATTTCCTTCCCTACTTCTCTCTTGAAAACAACTTGTGTCTTTGCATTGCGAAAGAGGTAAAGAGATTGAAATGGATATTTGAGATGAATCAAGGGCGGATATTGAGTTGGGATTATTGATGAGAGAGAGCAAATACTATGTTTGAAACAGAGAAGAGCGACAGAGAGGACTGTAAATGTAACGGATAGTGAGAAAGAAGGCTTGAGATTAGATCGCAATTAGCGAAGTAGAGACGAGATATTGGGTTGGAAACATGGAATTGATACAGAAAGTCCGATTTGGTTTTGACAATGGAAGGAGAGGAGAGGCGGAAGGTTCAAAAGTAGCTGTTGGTGATTCCTTTCCACCTCCATTCAACACTTCCATCCATCTTGTTTGTGTACGCTCTGTAACTCACTGAAAGTTTTACGAAGAGATTCCAATTTCGAAGAACCAGCCATGCTTATATTCTTGAACAATTATAAAGCAACCAAAATAACCTCTATATTATCCAATTTGGTTTTCTTCTATCTCTGCAACGATAAGCTCAGCTTCACTACAAACATCAAAAACCTAATTAAAGCTTGTTTGCCAAATTTGGAAATCTATTACTTTTGCCATATCTTATGAATGCCAAGTTTTAAGTACTCAAATTGTGATTATTGTCTAGGTGTTATATCTATGATTGGAAGGAGTTTTAGTTAGTCTCAGGGTCAAGAGAGAGAGAGAGAGAGAGAGAGTGGGGGCGTGCATGTGTGCCTGTGGGCAAAGAAAGAGGAGAGTGGGGTTTAATGCTCTCTCTCCAGGAAATGAGAGAGAGGTTCTGATGTAAGGAGAGAGTGTTTGCAATGGAGAGAGAGATGGGTTATGATGTAAAGCGACGGGGTAGGGAGAGACTGTTTGTGAAGAAGAGAGCGACAGGGGGAGAGAAATGAGGTTATTTCCATGTCATTTCTAATTTATAATAGGGCTAAAAGGGCCTTTTCTTTGTACAATGCTGCAACATGGGGCCTGTGAGGAGGGGGGGTTGTGATGTAGAGAGAGAAGGGCAGAGAAAATGAGGCTATTTTTATGTCATTTCCAATTTATAATAAAGAAATTTATAATAAAACAAAAATTGTGTTTTGCTTTGTACAATGGCATGGTTGGGGGAGATAAATGAGGTGAATCTTGTCATTTTTTCATTTGTAAATGGGAAAAAAGTCTTTTTCTTCCTACAATGGTACATTAGTGGTGTATAGGGGTTGGTGGGGAGAAAACATAAGTTGAAAGGGGGGAAAAGGTTTTCTAGTAGACATGAGGGGTCATTTGGTCCCTGAAATAAGGCACCATAAACAGTAGGCTCCACTGCATTATTTATCTTGGACCATTGTTGGGGTGGGGGGGATGGTCCAGGTGCACCTGTAACACATAGGCCATAGCATAATAGCCACATATTAGTTGAGAGAGCTGCTGGAAGCAGATTTCATTGGGCCATCCAAAGCCCAAGCTGTTCTATTATTTCCGAGTTCCAGGTCATGCAAATCAACTGAGGCTGGGAGGTCTCATCACATCCATAGCCCAACCATGCCCCCTTCCCCCCCCCCCTCCCCCCCCCTCCCCCAACCCCAAAAAATCCCCGTCCAATTGACTGAACAAATAGGCCTATCGACCATCAAGTGTTAGGAATATACAAGAACAATCCTAACTGCATAGGTTATGGGATGGGATTGGAGTATTGGACAACCGAGTTCACAAAGGCCTAACGTCAGTTAATAAAAACCAAGGAACATTTTTGAGTTGCAACAAAATCTTTGCTTTTGCATGGTCTTGCATGTATATACATATCTTAAGAGAATAGGACTAAGAAGAGTAGAAATAAACGTAGCACAAATAGTCAGGAGGAGGGTGAACCCGAGAATGAACAGGACTAGGAAGGTTAAACTGGAAATTGATTCGAATTGCTTTTGCATACAAATTCGCTATTGTTTGGAAATATGTGAAATCAGTGATGGGATTCAAATCCTAAGACATCCGCTACTATTACTGAGGGCATTTATTATGTTGAATAGAACTTCCATGCGAACTATCGGCATAGTTTTCTGTTCATGAGTGAGGGACATTAGGCCCTAACATGCTTTTATCAATTGGTAATTTCAAATAATAATAAGTGAACAAACAAGTGCCATATGAATAATTTGAGAAAAAAAAAAAAGAACAAAAAGATTAAGCCACAAAAGAATGAATAAGAAGGATATGCCTGAGAAAACAATGACCATGTAAAATCTGTGTTAACAAGCTTTTGAAGCTGCAAATAAGGGCTGATTAAAAATGGTTCATACCTGCCAGGGAAAGAACAGGAATCATGACCTGCAACCATACAAGACGCTATAGTTTAGTTATACTCACTCAAAATTTCTTAACCTCATTAAATGGAACAAAGAAAACTCAAAAATCAGTAGCAAAACCATAACGCATACTAAGAAAGGCAAACAAATATAAATCCAAAGGAAATACTTCAGCAATAAAACAGTGCAGAAGTAAATAACATCTTTACTTGGGTCAGTGGTAGTTACAGTGGCCACCCCTTTGAAATCGCATGTCCCAACAGCCATGCCCATCTTGTGATAGTAAGTATCAAACGCATATGAAGCATGTGACTCCACATTGTCAGGATCATAGCATGGCTGGCCCTGCAGCAGTGGTGTGCAGTCCACCTTCCCAGGTCCGCACGCCCAATCTAATGCAGCCTGCAAAAGCTTCTTATCCGCCCCACTAATCGCAACGCAATAAGTTTGGTTTGTGGTATCATTTGCAAGCACCACCCCCGAATCTGTCAAATGTAGAGTATAAACCGGTGACCCATCAGCGTTAAACAAGCCCCAGTTCTTCTCTGACATAGGCCCCGGCCTCGCATCCTCGTTGTATAGCTCATAAATGTAAGTGCTCACAGGCACACCAGGGTGCTTCGGCGTGCCTGTATTGTTCAATACATGCTTCACTAGATTGCTATTGTATTGGTCAGCATTATCAATTGTGGCATCAGGCTCATTCGAGTCACCCCCTGATGGCCACCCCGATTCCAAAACCACAATCTTAATGTTTGTGAAATTGAAATCCGCAATCGCGAAATATGCAGCATCAATCACAGCATCAAACACATTAGTGTAATGGAGAAGGGTATTCGCGTCAACTGCTTCCTTGTTGGGAGGTAAGGGGCGAAAGAGTGCATAATCAAGCCCTATTATGCCATTGCTTTGCATGTAAACATAGTACGGATACACATTGAGCATGAAGGGTGCCCCAGTCTTTTGGAGGAAGGAGAGCATAGGGACAAGGACCGGGGTCCATGTGCGGTTAAAGAAGGCTTGAGAGGGTGGGAATGAGTCGAGGATGATATCCGACGAGTGTGGCGTCGAAACCTTGACCTGACGATCAAGGTTTGCTGCCACAAGGGCAGAGTGGAGGAAATTCATTGCCGGGACTAGGACAAGGGCGGCATTTGGGATAGAAGTGAGGACTTCTGAACCAACGGCGATGCCGGTGATGTTGGTGGCAGGGAGATAAGCGGCAACATTGCGGGCAACCCAGTTGGCAGCAGTGGCGTTGGACTGACCGACGGCAAGCAGTTGGTTGTTGGGGACAGAAACGACAACACGGATACCCGTGTTGGCAAGGGCGGTGAGCATGGCACGGTCGGCATCGTAAAGACGCGCGTCGTGGATCTGTTGCTTCTTCAAAAGGGCTACCACTTGGGTGGGCGAGGGCATGTTGGTTACATCGGTCCCGACGTTCACACCCACAAATGCTCCTGCAAAGCCATGCGAAAAGAGTGAACATGTAATTGAAAGTAGAAAGTGTTTAACTATAAGGACGATACAACACAGAAAGGGGAATCCGCCATGTGATCTCACTGAGGAGCCAGTGCCGGACTTTGGAGTGGGCCAACAGTTCATCCCTTCTCTTGGTTGGGAAGGATAGATGATAGATGCCTTTGCATAGCATACAAATTATATGTATATACTATAAAATTATGTATATGTATGGCATACTATAGAATTACACGTGGTATAATACACAGATAAGGAGTAAAGATGAAAAATGGAAGAATGGGCCTAAGGCATGGGTGGCAAGGTGCTACAACATGGGTTCCACTCCTACAAGTCCCAAGTTAACATTCAAAAATAAATAAAATAAATAAAATAAAATGTAAAGATTATTAAACTTGGCAAACAATTGAAAAAGCATGCGACCATATAACGACTGGAAATAAAACAGGGGGCAAGGTACTGCAATAGGCAACTGATGCAAATCTTCTGCTAATGTTAAAAATAGGAAGCATGTATAAAAACATCCAAAACAAGGGAAAATTGCGAGGACTAAAAATGAATACTAACTAAACATATGGGAAATTAAACAGAGATACACCAAGTGCATAACTGAAGACACAAGAAAAATTGTCAGTTAATAGAAGAACACTGCTATAGCTAAATGTAGTTATATCAGCCTCACAAGAAGAAACTGAAAATAAAACGAAAATGACCAGCAAAATGCCAAAATTAACCCAAGATTTTTAATAAGAGTTAAGATATAATAATGAAACAGCAAACATATTGCTGATTTTGGTTGGGAAAAGCATATGTCTATCAAAAACAACACCAAACTAAAAACAGTGGAACTAATAAAGCAAAAACCGTTGTATACATATAGATGGTCTTCTTTGACAATGGGCGAGTTATGCTCTTTTACAATGGATAGACTTTGCAACGCTACGTCCTAGACTCAATTCCTACCAAGGGTAGGGGCCCTCTCACCACTACCTCACCCAAAAAAAAAAAAACTCTTCTTTTGAGAATGGGGTTGGGGTTGTGGTGGTAGCACCACTTGTGCCCTATCTAAGGTCTAGGCTTCCATTCTCACCTAACACATTCAGAAACCACTAACGATTTCAAAAAAAAAAAGGTACGGGCTCACCATCCCCACTGAATTACCCAAAAAAAAAATAGAACAATGGATAGACTACTAGATTCATGTGCAACATCCCTTGAGTCAGATCAGGACCCACTTCAGTAACTTATGTGTTGGTTAATAGGATCAAGATACACAAGATAGAAACCATAACATAGAAAACATAACATCATATTCCTAGCCAGTGTTTAAAACCCAATCTGACCTACTGAAACCACTCCGCAGCTGAACCAATGTGGATCACTGAACCGGATTCAAACCTACCGGTTCTTTGAGGGAAATTGCTATAGAAAATGAAAAAAGACAAAACAAATAAACCGGTAGGAACCATGCAAGTCCAGTTCTCCACAGGATCCCAACCGGCTTGTGTGGTTCCTATCGGCATCACCGTTTTTTAAAACATTGTTCCTAACAGATAGCAAGTAAGATGTAACAGAATAGGAAATCTTTTTAAATAAAGTACATGCTTATGTATTAGTTATGATGCATGAGGTATCAGACACTAACAACAAAGACTGAAAACCTTTTAGGGTAAACAAAATGGCTCCAGCAATTGACACGCCTTGGTTACACCTCACTAGCTGTTACATATCTACATTTAAGGCTTATATTTGTTTTGAGCATGTTCGTCTATGAAATGGTTAGAGAACAGCCAAAGTGATCTATATCAGGAAGCACAAGTTACCATGTTTTAACACAATTCAAAAGTTTAAAATGTAGCCTTGGAAGCTGCAGAAGAGAAACAATAATCACAAAGTATAAATGACATAAAAAAATGATTTACACTTATTGGAATCCAGGTATACCTCTTGGAGAGACAATTCTTCATCACCACGAATGCATGGATGGGATATCGAAAGAACCTTAATTGCACTAAAAGTACAGACAGTCTCATGGGGAAAGAGCCCATTGGAGATCATTAAGCTTTTGATTCCATAACTGGGAAAAGTAGGAACCTTTATAAAGATAAGAGTCCGGTGTTGTACTAAATGTAAATGTCCATACAAAGTAAGGATGATGAAGCAAGCAGTAAAACATAGAGATCACATGATAAACCTTGGAAAATGAAATAAATTAAAGATCCCAATTCCCAAGTGGCCTCATGATGAAGGACCCTCACACGGGCATGTAAAGCTTCCCTTGGGAGGGGGATCCCCAACAAAACATTTGGTATGAGGGAATGGCATGCTTGATCGAGCTCCACTGAAGGAAACAATAACTCACTGTCAAGATAATATGAAAACAAGTTCAAAGATTATGGTAACAAAATAAGATGAGTAAATCAAGTTAAACCCCTGAGTGTATGAGAGCAAAAGGCATTGCAAAACAAGTACTCGCATGAACCATGAACACAGAGGGCCAGCCACAAAGATTTTTCCTAGTAGAATACTGACCTAAAGGCACAAGGAACCAAGTTCTTTACCTACAAAGTGGTTAGGAATGAATAGAAAAAGGTAAAATGTGAAAGCATGCATGAGCTATGTTTTTGCAGCATAAATGAAAGCTCCACTACCTGACTCTATCCTCTCAGAACTCCTCTACTGACTGACGCCGGTTTAATAGGATTAAGATACAAGTGTAGAAGGGACCAAAATCCTTAAGAATGATCCTGACAGTGAACGTACAGCATGGAGAAAATTGTAGGGGTTGTGATAGTCAGATGGGTTCTATCACTTTGAGACGTTAAGAGGCCAACTTGGCTTGCCTAAAACACAACGGTTGCCATACAAAAACACAATGGTAGTCCGGGCCTTTTATATAATGCTATAAAACCCAGTTTGCAGGAAATGTCAAGTGTTCAAATCTACCTCGTTCAAAACAATCCGACTTACATTGTGTAAAAGAAAGAAAAGAAATCACAAGAAAACTAGAAAATCATGGTTAGAAAAAGAAAATTGTTACTTCAGGAAAATAACAGATTTTTTCTGAAACGGTGACATGGTTAGGGCACATTATGTCAATCTACTTTGCAAGATAGTATCTCAGTACCATCAGATTGAGCTGATTTGGATCTTGTTAGAAAGATATGAATATGTAGTTTCGAAACAGCACATTCAGATATCTTTGAATTCATTTGAGGTACTAAAATTGAGACGGCATGAGGCATTATTTCTAAAATATATCGACCGATTCTGTGCACAGAAAACTTAACTTCCAAAATCTGTGACTTAAATTTGAAAAAATAAATAAAAAATTATGTAAACTGGAATTTAGAATTTAGAGTTTATACTTTATAATTGAAAGAAAGTGTAAAAATAATACATTGGAAATGTCTCGAATAATTCTCCTTTATTTTATTATTATTATTTTTGGGTAGATGAGGTCAACTGTTACAAGATCTTTGACATGATCCCATGACTGACAAGGACAAATTGTTAAAAAGGCTAAGCATTGTATTTTCAATCTAAAATTTTAGAGTTCAATAATCTCCATCATGACAATGATCTAAATTTGGAATTTTACTTTTTCAAAAAATATAAATTCTATTTTTTGAATTCCTTTCCTCACCATCTATTTTAACTTCTAGAGGATATAACATTTTAAGATGGGTGTGGTTTCTATAAGGATGCAACCTTAAACAATCCAATTAAGGTGCACCCCCAAATTTTATCATAACATGTATTTTTGGTAAAAATAATTCTTAGAATTATCTCAAAATCTATTTTCATATGTAATTATAAAATTTTAAACTAAAAAAATGGTTAAAATCAAGCAGATCTATAAACATATGAAAATCTTGAAAATTGATGGTCTAGATAATGTATTGCAAAATGCACTATTTTTGGGACTCAAAATCTTTTTTTTTCTTTCATATTCATATATCTCGATGTCGAGATGATCGATTGGAAGTTTTTTAAACATTAAAACAACCTTTTCTGATGGATTTTTGTGGTGTGCATATGTAGTTCTACATTTTAAAGTTGCAACCGTATATAAACTTTTTCCTTTTAATATGTCCATATTAAAGATGAACATCAGATAGAAAAACGACCGCACGGTAATAAGTGAGTCAGCTGACTCACCAAATCCGTGTCCATATCAACATATATGCAGCATTTAAGGCCCTGGCTTCCACTCTAAATTGCACCAAATATAAACAGCAAGCACTGTAATCAATAATGAATGCCCCACTTTGTTTTATTACTTGTCAAAACAAAACAAAGAAGACCCCACTTTAACCCAAAAAAAAAAAGGTGGGCACATCAATCAAGTAACAACAAAGTGCCATTTCATTAATACTCCTAGTTGAACTGCAACGGTCACATTTAGATAGGTGAGTTGCTCTCTGACAAAGGCATATAATAATGGGGGCATCTTCGTCATTTCAACAGAACATAGGAGCACCAAAAAGAAATCCAATACTCTTTATTATTCTATCATTAAATTCGCATAAGATTATGGAAACAGTAAATAATTAATAAAAAAAATCGACAAAGAGCTCAAAAGAAGACAGGGCACAGAGCCATAAGACAGATGGACAAGTGAATCAAACAGTATGGCCGAGCTTGCGGCGCACGTGCCTACGACGACACGCACGAGGACGAGAGGATTTTGAATCGGGTGGCTGAGATCTGGATTGTGTCAGCACTTCCCATCTGGGCCGTTCATTTATTATAAGTCTAAAAGCCCAGCTTCCTTTTGCAAAATGAATGATGAACCCCATTTCAACCGACTCACCAAATAGGGGTAAAACAGTCATTTACCGAAACATGAGAGTCTGCGAAAAGATAGAAGTCCTTTGACGTTTGTTTTTTTTTTTTTTTTTTTAATAAAGGGTTTGGAGATGTAGAAATAGTTGACAATCTCAAACTTTCTGGAAAGAAAAAGAAAGCTGTCCAACCTTTTCTCAAATACCGACCCAATCCATGATCATTATTTTGAACCTACTTGGGTGTTACTCAGCCGTGGGATGGGCATGGCCCGGGCGCCCCAGACCGGCCCTAGAAAAGTAGGGCATGGGCCACAAAGGAGTCAGGCCAGGGCCAAGCCATTTCAGGCTGGCCTGGTCCTCTTTTTTTTTGTTTTTATTTTAAATTTTTATTTTTTTAGCCCGGCTGAACCTTCTTATGAACAGGTCCCTGACGGGCCGGGCCGGTAGTCCCTTACTCATCTTTGTCGAACTGCAAGTGAGGCATTTGAAATCCAATGGTTTTCGTTGGAAAAGCAACTAGAAAAAAATAGAGTAAAAATGAGACCTCTACATTAAATGCAACTCTTGTTCTTTATTCCCAAGAGCTCAGATATCTCTTTTTTGAGAAAAGTCACCAAAAGGAAAAGGTACAACCAGGTCAGATTAGGGTTGTTTAAGTAATTTGAAAAAAAAATTTGGGCCTTTTCGTCCATTTCATTTTTTTAAGAAGCCAGCAGCGCCGGCTCGAGCCGCGCACACCCAAATAGCTTCGAACATAATCAATCTCTAAATCTTCAAAAATAACAGAGAAATGGATTAAAAACTTGTATATAAAACACAAAAACACACAAAAGTGAGGTCTAGCAGTACTCTTTTGACTCTGTGATGACGGCCATCAAAATACTTAGCATCCAAGCTTAATCCAGAAACAAATGCACATAAATGTCTCTAATAACATTTTCCACAAAACCTAATGCAGCAGAGGATCAAGTAGTGAAGCTCATCCATTGAAAGGAAGTACCGTTTTGATACATATGAGAGAAAATAGTGATAGAATGAAGCAGGAATACAAGAGAGAAAGGAATAACAGATTAAAGCCCAAAAGACAAGGGGGATTTACGGAGAGAGAAAGAGAGAGAGAGAGGACCTTCATCAGCAAGGGCAATGACAACCGCAAAGAGTAGGAGCAGCAGAACCGAAGGCGCCATGGCCCTGTGTTTGTGTGCCTTCTGGTACAAATCGAAGTTCAAACAAATCAGCAAAATAAAGAGGGGAATGAATCAGACGGAAACAAGGAGAAGAAGAAGCAGGGGTTTGGGTTAGAAAATGGAAGAAGAAGCTCTGGTTTGGCTTAGAAAAGGGTAGTGAGAGAGTGAGAGTGTGAGAAAGAATCAGGAGAAAGAAACATAAATCCAGAAAGAAGAGGGCGCATTTATTCTGTCAACCATTTCTCACAATATAGATGCCAACGACGACCCAAGACGCCCTTGTCATTTACTTAAATGACAGGACTACCCAAGCATTTCTTTTTAAATTGTTTTGTTAATTTTCACGGTTTTGACTATTTTGCCCTGGTTACACACGTGGGGTTACAATTGTATCCTTGTCATTTCGGAGTTGAGAGTTCCATACGCGGATTTTGTAGTTAATTTAAATTTTAAAATATAATTAAAACCTAAATTTTAAAATATAATTAAAGGGTGTGGTTTGCATAAGGTTGCAACCTCAAACAATCAAATTAAGGCGCATCTCTGAATTTTATCGTAAGATGTAATTTTGGTGTCAAAAATTCTTTGAATTGCCTAAAAATTTATTTTCAACTCTAATTATAATTTTAAACTCAAAAAATAGTTCAAATCAAGTAGATCTATAAACATATTAAAATCTTGAATTTGGATGGTTTAGATAATATGTTGCAAGTGCACTATTTCTAGGACTCCAAATCTTTTTCTTTTTTCATATTCGTACATCTTGATGCCAAGATTATCAATTAAAGGGTTTTTCAACATTAAAACAATATTTTCTGATGAATTTTTGAAATGCAACTTTAATTTTACATTTTAAGGTTGCAACCTTATATAATCTTTTTCCATAATTAAACCCTACGTCTATTATCATATTCAATGTACTATCCGGCCAATTAACCATGTGAGTTGGGTAAAGCACTAGGGAAGAATTTTATAAAAGATTGAAACTTACATGAGATTGTCTCTTCTTATTTTCATGAATTGTATTTGGCCAAGCCTGGCCCTAAGAGTGACAAGGTTGGACCTAGTCTAGGGCCGCTTCAGGGAGCTAGGTTGGGCTTAGGCTGGCATGTAAGGGCTGCTTCAAGAGAGCATAAAACAAGGCTAGGGTTTTTCAAGACACTTTTAGGACCTTTCAAGAGCATACCATAAATGGCACCTCCCTTGGTCAATTAAGGGATGGCCGGATGGGTGTGCCCCTCCCTATGTTCCTTAGGTATATATCACCTATTAGATAGAGAGAGACTAGAGAGATGAGTGACGAGGAGAAAAAATGGTCGAGAGAGGTGGCTCTAGAAGCATAGGGTTTCAAATGTTAGAGACCTCCCCATATATAGCCTCCAAAATGCCTTATCTGGTTATTATTTATCTTGGCTAAGAGGATTTTAGGTAAGTTTTTAGTTAAACAATACAATCAAGTGAAAACTCATCTTGGGGAAGGAACCTTATCCCCTGATTCTATGACCCACGTCCACTTCTAGACACCCTAGAAAATTCATCTTTTCGTTTTGACAGAATTTCCTCTTCTCTCATAAAAAGATTGGAGGAATTAAAAGTCAAAGTGGTTTGGATTTAAAGATTTAAGCCCCAGCTCCCCTGAATAGCCTGATTTTTCCTCCACTACGATAAGGAGCTAAAAGATTCACCACTTTAATGCATATTTCAAAAATTAAAATTTTGGTATCTAACTATATAAAGGCAAGCCCAGATCTATGAATAGAAGATGTACGAGTATCTACAAGACATAAATTATCAACAGGTTCTCCAAGAACATTGAAAATTCATCCGATAGTAGCTTTGCCAACTGGAACACTTAGAGGAACTCCCAAGTCAATCACTTCCATTAGACAGAGACTCATGAGAGTTATGGGGGATTAAGTGTAGAGCAAATGCTCATGGAATCTGGATGATGCATGAGACGGATGGTGATAGAGGCACCGGCATGGACATCCATGTTGTCAGTGTGGATGGTGCGGTGTGAATAGACAAGGGATGATAAAATTGATTGGGTGGTGAGAGTGAAGAGATGGAGTGGAGCGTGAAGAGATGGAGTGGCGAGAGATGGGGAGATGAGGATGAAAAATGGAGTGGCAAGCGGAGAGTGAAGAGAGTGGAGAGGGAGGCCAACGGCTAGATGGAGAGAAGATGAGGAAAGGAGAAACATAGAAGAGAGGGGAAAGAGTGGAGATTGGCGGTCAGGCTGCTGGTCTTGTGAAAGAAGGGGGAAAGAGAATAGAGAGAGAGAGAGAGAGAGAGAGAGAGAGAAGATTGGGGGGTCTGGTCCCCCTTTTTTGGGCATGGTACCCCTGCCCTAGGGCAGCTTTTGGCCTCAAGTGAGGCGTTTGCCACTAGGCTAGGCCATATCTTCACAATGGACATAGCCTCGTGTCATTTGGACACCGTTTGGGCCTTCAAAAGGCCGTTTGAACGATAATGGCTTTGGGGAATTTTAGCAAGCATGCCTTATTCAAGGGCAAGAATAGTCTTTTGGCGTCTTGCCTTTGACTTTAATGCCCTTCTTCTTTTTCCAAATAATCATTCTTTTCACATGGACTTGATGGGAATAAAGGCATTTTGAGGAATTATGGGAGAAATGACCCATTTTTACTCCTTGCCTATGTATAAAAAGGGGTGAAGGCCCTCATTTTCACCATTCTTCCTCAATTTTTCACTTCTTAGAGAGAGAAAGTAGTGGTGACCACCCCTTTAGAGAGAGAAAGACCAAGCCTTGAGAGTTAGTCAGAATTTTGACTACCCAAGTCCATAGCAAGTTCCTCTCGAGTTCCTGATAGTGGAAAGCCTACCCCATTTCTCTTTCATTTATTTTCATTTAGCATTTTCTTCTTTCTTTCCATGCTTTTGTTCTTTCTTTTGTTGGATGGGAGTTCTTCTTAGGTGTAGTCTAGGCGGGCCCATTAGTCTCACGACCTTTGAATCCTCTGGGGTGACTTTGGCTAGCCAAAAGCCTTTCATGTTGTTAGATCTTCATTTTTCAAGGGAGATGCTACCAAAATTTTGTTGCCCTTCGTTAGGCTTGCCTTTTTATGAATTTCGCAATATAAAACAAACTTGCTCTGACCATTTCTCTTGTATCTTGGGTAGGCAAAGGTGCCAAACAATAGGATAACTCATCGTGCGGCTAGAGCTCTAAGGTGTTTGTGCATGAACCCTCGGTGACCCATTGGGAACTAGGAAAGGGTGTAAATATTGACATCTCCTCTAGTTCGGGTCATTTGATCGGTCTTCCTCCTTGGTTCATTCGAGGGGAAGCTGAGCTTGAGAGGATATGGCTACATTTTCCTTATCAGATTACGGGTTTTACTTTCCTTAGTTTTAATATCCAGAATTTCGAGACTAGGAGCGAGATACACAGAGCCATCTATCATCTCATGGGCCGTGCTTCTTTTCATGAGCTAGCGATGCTCTTTTTCCTTTTGAGGGAGTTAGTGAAGAATCTCATGGAGTTTGGCATTCCAGACATCGGGTCGCTTCAAGAGGAGGTGGTCAAGTTGGCTCGCCAGGCGAGGGAGGTCTTGGAGATAGAAGACTTGGCTTTTGTGGAGAATGCTCCATCTATTGAGCCTTTTCTTAGGTTTTTCTCAGAGCAACCATCTATCATTGCTTACGTCGAGGCAGTAGTCAAGAGATTAAAAATGATTTGGTGGTCCGGAAGTTTCTATCCTTCCTTTGAAGAGCATTTTTCCAAGATTGGGAAGGAGATGGCTCGTGCTAATATTTCACTCCTTGATAATGAGAGTGATATGCTTACTCTCGAGATACATATAGGTCAGACTGAAGCTTTGTTAATCTTGGCCAGGGAAGAGATGAGAGATTCTTCGTCTTCCAAACTTGAGTAAGGCGAATTCCCTCCTTTGGTGAGGCATGCAGGCCTTCTTAAAGTATCAGAATTAAGGGACAAACTGAGGATAATACAATGAGTTTTCTCCAAGCTTGGCGGCAGGAAGGAATAGATTTTTTACTACCTTCTCCCCTTCTGTTTTTTATGCTTTTGTGTTTTGAGGACTTGAGCGACCTTCTTAAAGTGTCAGAATTAAGGGACAGACTGAGGATAATACAACGAGTTTTCTCCAAGCTTGGTGGCAGGAAAGAATATATTTTTTAGTACCTTCTCCCCTTCTGTTTTTTATGCTTTTGTGTTTTGAGGACTTGAGCCATGTGATGCATTTACTTTCTGTTTGGAATGACTTCTTCTTTTCTTTTTGTTATGTAAAGCCCTTAAGCCATGACATGTAATTTCCCTTTTTGCTTAGGAATCAATGCACTTTCTTTTCTCTTACCTTGATTGTCTCCTTTGCTTGTGGCTGATAATAATGAAAGATTATATCGACGACGTTCTAATCAAATCAAAGACTAGATCTGAAGATTTCACTAACCTGAGAATAATTTTCAACAAACTCTAAAAGGATTAACTCAAATTGAAGTCGCAAAAATGTGCATTTGGAGTTGAATTCGGCAAATTGTTAGGCTTCATAGTGAGCCAATGGGGCATCGAGGTGGACCCTGCAAAAATTTTAGCCATCATCGAAATGCCTCCTCCCCAGAATATCAAAGAAATTCATGGGCTTCAAGGTCATCTCTCAATTGGTGGACAAGTGTGCACCATTCAATAGGTTACTTAAAAATGATATACCATTCATATGGGATGAGGAGTGTCAAAAGGCTTTTGACCGGATCAATGAATATTTGACTATGCCTTCCATCCTTAGTCCACCAAATCTCGACAAACCCTTATTCATTTACCTTGCAATAAAAGACAAGACTATGAGGGCTATGTTCGGGCAATATGACGACCAAGGAAGGGAAAATAACATTTATTATATTAGTAAAACTATGGTTGATTATGAAACAAGGTACACGGACATGGAAAAGCATTGTCTGTTACTTGTGTGGGCTACACAAAAGCTGAAACACGACGTCTTGTCTCATACTGTTAACCTTATTTAGAAAATAGACCCACTCAAGTACTTACATAAGAGACCGGTTCTTAATGGATGATTGGCAAAGTGGAGAATGCTATTAATTAAGTTCGACATCGAGTATGTGACATAAAAATCATTTAAAGGACAAGCCATAGCTGACCACTTACCCAAGCAGGCATTACCTAATAACATTATTGTTAACACAGATCTCCCAGACAAGGATCTCTTCACAATTGAATATCCAACTTGGGAG